AAGCTGTAGAAGAGCTGGTCCTTGGGGGCGATGAAGGCTGCAAGAGAGGGGAGAGGGGGCTGGGGAGGGGTGCCACCAGGGTGCCACCAGGTCCCCTCGGGGGCTTGCAAGGAGGGTGGGGTCCCTAGGGAGAGGGGACCCCCCTTCTGCACCCATAACCACCAGGGGGTGGGGTTTGGGTACAACCAGGCCAATGGACTGGCCGTGGTGACACCTCTGGGTGGCCCCAGGGACCCTCAAGGACAGGTTGGTGACCACCATGGCATGGGCATTTGGGCACCCACTGAGCCAGCCAAGGGTGACACATTCGTATGGTCGTGGGGACCCGTGGGGACAGGTTGGTGGCTGCCATGGTGTGGCATTTGTGTTGGCCATGGATCACATCTTTGGGTGGCCCTGAGAACCCTCAGGGACAAGTTGGTGGCCACCATGTGATGGCGTTTGAGTTGGCCATGGGTCACACCTTTGGGTGGCCCTGAGAACCCTCAGGGACAGGTTGGTGGCCACCATGGGATGGCGTTTGAGTTGGCCATGGATCACATATTTGGGTGGCCCTGAGAGCCCTCAGGGACAGGTTGGTGGCCACCATGGGATGGCGTTTGAGTTGGCCATGGATCACATCTTTGGGTGGCCCTGAGAGCCCTCAGGGACAGGTTGGTGGCCACCATGGGATGGTGTTTGGGTTGGCCATGGATCACACATTTGGGTGGCCCTGAGAGCCCTCAGGGACAGGTTGGTGGCCACCATGGTTGTGGCATTTGGGCTGGCCATGGGTCCGCCCTTTGGGTGGCCCTGGGGACCCTCAAGGATAAGTTGGTGGCCACCATGGCATGGGCATTTGGACACCCACTGGGTTGGCCATGAGTCACGCCTTTGTGTGGCCCTGGGGACCTTCAGGGACAGGTTTGTGGCCACCATGGCATGGGCATTTGGGCATTCCCTGGGCCAGCCAAGGGTGACCTCTGGGTTGCTCTGGAGACCCTTGGGGTTGGGTTGGTGGGCACCGCAGTCTGGGTGCCTGGACACGGCCAGGTCACTGAGCCAGCCATGGTGACACCTCTAGGTGACCCTGGGGACCTTCAGGGACAGCTTGGTGACCCTCGTGTCACATGGGCATTTGGCCACTCCCTTGGCCAGCCAAGGGTGACCTCTGGGTGGCTCTGGAGACCCTTGGGGTTGGGTTGGTGGGCACCGCAGTCTGGGTGCCTGGACACGGCCAGGTCACTGAGCCAGCCATGGTGACACCTCTAGGTGACCCTGGGGACCTTCAGGGACAGCTTGGTGACCCTCGTGTCCTACCTGAGGCCAGGAGGATGGGGCGGAGGGTGTTGGGATGGAAGAGACGTAGGATGGGCAACCATGGCAAGACCCACCACAGGCACCCGTGCCGGTACTGTGCCACCAGCTCGTCCACCTGCTGCAGTCCCTCCTCCGTGTTCTTCCCCTGCGTCACCGGGCACCACAGGGCTCAGTGAGGGCCTTGGGGACACCCTTGTCCCCAGGGTGATGGCCAGCCTTGGGGACGTTCTTGTCCCCAGTTGGTGGCCAGTCTTGGGGACAGTCTCAAGCCTCGGTTGACAGATGGACTTGGGGGACACGTTCAGAGCTCATGTGCCACTGCTGTGTCCCTGCCGTCACCCAGGAGTGTGTCCCCACGGTGTCCCCGCTGTCACACCATCCCCTCAAGGTGCCACCACCCCGTCCCCACCGTCACCTCTCAGGTGCCACCATCACCTCCCCACTGTCACCCTCCCCACTTGCCACTGCCCTGTCCCCATCATCCTCCCCCAGGCTTCACCACGGTGGCCTCCCTTGCGGGTGCCCCCGCTGCCCCTTCAGTGTCCCCCGGCAGGTGCCACCCTCCTGTACCCACCATCACCCCCCAGATGCCACCACCCTGTCCCTCTCACCCCCCAGCAGTCACCACCCAGCCCCTGCCACCCCTCCCAAGGTGCCACCACCGTGTCCCCACTGTTCCCTCCACCCAGCTGCCACCACCCTGTCACCACTGTCTCATGTCCTAAGTGCCATCTCCCTGTCCCTGTCACCCCTTCCAAGGTGTCACCACCCTGTCGCTGCTGTCCACCCCAGTGCCACCACCCTGCCCCTGCCACCTCCCCAGCTTCCACAATCTCATCCCTGATGTCCCCCAGGTGCTGTCACCGTGTCCCCACTGTCCCCCACCCCTATCCCCACTGTCCCCCCCAGGTGCCACCAT